CATAAATCATACGGTTAAACTATTCTAACTTCTGTGTTCCCCTCACATTTGCTTTCGGCTGTTCTGTGTGTTCACGTATAATCCTTTCATGAATTATATTCACCATTTCATGTGTATATAACATTCTGTTAAAGTATTGCTTGCTTAAATAGATTATTGTTGATTACTTTTAACAAATTGTCAGTATTGTATTACGTCCACAAATCAAGTCCACTTCTCTGTGTATACCATTTGACTCCCACGCTTTCAGGGGTCTGCATTACTTATCCATTTATACGAATGAACTCAGCCTATGTTACAAGCCTCATTTCTGGGTTATTAATACAACATATACAAGGATAGGTTCATTTAAGCAATAATTCTCGGGTTGATACGTCTTTGCTATACGTCTTTGCTATACATACATATCATATAGATATACATCACTTTACATCATGTTAAATCATTTTGGGGTATCCCTGCCTTTGGTCTTTCTGCTACATATCATACATAACGCTGTGTTAATTAGGCCATGACCTCATCCATGTCCCTTTCTATAAAACCAGTTACATTTCGGTACAGATCATTGAACTCCCACGCCAGGAGTTTTATAACTATCCATTTCATTTCCATTCACTCAGCCTACATTACAGGCCTCATTTCTCTGTCATGACGATGACACATAAGGCTTAAATCCTTTTGCATGCATACTCGGGTTGAATCACACGTACTGATCCAACCAATCATACGTCCCCTGCACAGTCATATACATATGTATATAACCTACGTTTCATGTTTTCCTTTACACACCATTATCACGTAACACATAGATTGTTTGTACATAGGCCACGGCCTCCCTCAGATGTCTTATTCAAGCATGCAAACATTTCTGAGCCACTCATAGTTATTCCCATGGTATCAACATAATTTTAAACATTGCTGCTACAGACTATAAGTCTGGTTCTTTTTACACCCCACACTCATCGTACTACTCTCTTTTACCCATTTTTAGGCTGTCGAGCTTATATAATTGCTCCACACGGTTTATTCCTGTGATTTATCATACTACCAGGTACGTACACCTGCTCATATGGTATTCTACCATACATTTCATCCCCCTAGTTTAGAGTACTGGCAATAGGGTCACAGGATTCCCAATAGGTATTTACCCCATCTTGGCTGTCGCCATTAGTTAGTGGTCCCGCGAGGCCAACACCCCGCCTCAAACGTTTCGGAGGCAAACACCCATCGGGCCACACGTTAGCTAGCCGCCTCGCATGTTGCAAAGAGAGGGCCTCACCTGTCACTCCCTTCCCCTGTTTTCTGTCGTACAGTCACCGAGAGGCCTAAAACTCCTGCCACTACGTCAAGTGGCCTCAATAACCCCTCGCGCCAACGCATAGATAGAGCCTCTCAAGCCGCTTGGCAATTAGTAGGGCCTCACCTGTCACCAAACAAGCATAATACTTTCGCCATCCGCCTAGCTAGCCTGCCAGTACAATTTGGTGGTTCTATATACTAATTATTGTTTTATTTATAGTATGTCTCAGGAAGGGGTAGAGGATTTCTCCCTGCCTAGCACCCCGGCTAGAGCTGTCACTCCCACACAAGGAGGAGAGCTAGCTAGTCCAGCATCAATTAGATCCTGGACAATCCCGCGCATAACCACGGAATTAAGGAGACGACAAATCCCCTACCCCGCTACAGCAAGGAAGGCAGAACTTTTCAAACTGCTACGCACATCAACTAATAACATGGAAGCCGGGGAAGGATCTAGCCAGTCCAACCCAGGGGACATACATGCCATGTTATCCTCACTCATGGCATCCATGGGCAAGGTCAACTCCAGGCTGGAGAAACTTGAGTCGGTCACCACGGCCCTCACTCTAGCAGGGCCACCCGCGGCTGCGGTACAAACACCAGCCTTGCCATTAGTCGCTCCAGCCAGCCCCCTGGATGACCAGGAAGTTAGCCCGGCCCACATGATACCTGAGCATATCAAAAGGGATATCCTGGAAGGTAAAGACGTCAACCTGGCTTCCCTGTTGATTGCCTCCCAGGACATTGTGGAACATAAGACGTATGCTTATGATGATGTTTCTGTTATTGTCAGATCTAGGGATGCCCGCCTGAACAGGAAACTGACTATCCCTGAATTTGTACTAGCGTTTGGTATTTACAGGGATGTCGTCTGTGCGGTTTATCCCAACAGAAGAGAGGAGTTTGATCTCTATATGCACAAGCTGGTAGACCTGGGCAACAAATATGGTGGTTCAGCATTCTATGACTACCATAGGTCTTTTTCTGCAAAAGTGGCTGGAGCCTTCTCCCAGTACGGTACACGATCCAACTGGGGAAGGATTGATACCGTCTTATTCTGCAGACACTTTGCAGGTCTAAGAACACCAGCTTGTGCATACTGCTCCTCCACAGCCCATACTACTAATTTTTGTCCCAACACGGCAGACATTACAGGCAGCCCCCCTGCTGGCAATACAGAAGCCAGCTATCCCCGGCCATG